AAATCTGAGGTGATAGCTAAATAATTAAATATATTAAGGTCACGATTATATAATTAATTGTCACAGTTACATACTTATACGCCAAAACTTATTTATTGGTCACATATTATCAAATTAATTGGTCACAAATTATTTTTCGATCACAATAAAAATTTTTACAGGTCACAAATTATTTCACAATCACAAATCGAAAATTTTATAGGTCACAATTTTTTTATCGATCACAAATTTATAAAATTAATAAGTTACATATTATTCATTGGTCACAAATCACAAATTTTATATATCACAAATTATTTTAACGTCACAATTCAAAAAAATTATAAGTCACAATTTGTTCATCGATTATAAATCAAAAATTGAAACATCACAATTTATTTATAGGTCACAAATTACAAATATTATAAGTCACAACTTATTAGACAATCACAAATGATCGGTTACACATTATTTTTTTGGCCACAATTTATCTTTTTTATTGGTCGAATATTGTTTATCGGTCACAAATTAATCAATTTAATGATCACAAACAACCAAATAATCCGTGACCACCACTTCACCACTCCCATCAGCACCACCAGCGCCACCGTCTCCTCTAGAACCACCACCACCACCTCTTGACAACAACACTATCTCAAACAAATCAACACATCGCATAAAAACACCACTACCTCACGACAACCTGTCAACACCACTGCACAACGCTAGAGCCACCACCACACAGCCACACCACAGCACATAGCACACCGCACCTACAACACACATCATTGCACCACCAATACACCCAACCACAACACCGTAACCGAACCCATAACACCACAATTGCAGACCAGAGATCTGCAGCTTCGACCCCTCAAATCAATAGCACCAATCAGCCTTAGCCTCTCTATCCACAAAGTTCCCTACCTGTCAACTCAAAACTACGATCAACAACATCAATTCGCACAGCCAATCGAAACATCAAACATCTTGATCAGCCAATCGAAACATCCAACATCTCAATTGACCAATCGAACAAGCCCCTACCACATATCCACACACAGATAACAGCGACATCGAGTAACTGGAGATGATAAAAGCGACGTCCATCATCACCAGTGATGCGAGCGATGGCGGGCGTGGCAACGACGGAAAGATGAGTTTGTGGCAGAGAAACCTCCCTCACGGCAATCATAGCATCCACCACGGCCTCTACCTCGATAACCTCACTCATGACGCCGCCACGGAATCCAGCGACTCCATCGCTCACATGGGGCTAAATTCAGAAAACTCAGGCCGTAGTTCCCCAACGCTACTTACCGGCGATGAAGACGGCGATTGGGAACATGATGCTGGCTGCTATGATGTGTGAGAAAGAGAGAGATGTATGGAGAGGGGATGTCGACCGCCTGCCACGAGAGAGAGAAATGGATGGATATTGAGAGATGTAGAGTGAGAAATGAGGTGGGCGAATAATTAGGGTTTGTGATGACTTTTGGTGGTATTAATAGTATTGAATATTTGAATTAATATCTAATTTTTGAAATTTGATTTTAAAAATTCTGGTTTGATGTAATTACCACTTTTTGATATTATAAGATGGTGGGTCCAATCACCTATAAATGTATGGTTAAATATGGATAAAAGTTATGGATATAATAAAATATTTTGTTAAAATGAAGTTTGATGAGTTTATAATCTCAAAAAAAGAATTTGTCAAACGAGGCTTAATATGTCATTGGATTAAGTACTTATTTTCAAGTTTTCGCAATTACTTGTTGGTTAAAATGAAGGGTAAAGTAGTCTAATAGGATGGGCAGCTCTTTTTTTGGACACAAGCAAAGCATAGAATAATCTCTTACCTCTTAACCATTTTGGCCAGAGTTCAAGAAGAAAAGTAAGGAACAAACACATGCTGGATCTTGCAAGAAAAGCTAATCAAGCTGATCGTCTACAAAATATACAAGCAAACAGTATATTGTTTCATCGATGGCAAATATTGTAGAAGGAAATCATGGAGGAAATGTAGAAAAGAAAAGCTCTCCTAATATTATATATGAAGAGTTTAAACCCCTCTCTGGTTGGTCAGAAGACTCAGATTGCCACTTTTTGCTCATTGATCTTCCAGGTTTTTTTGGATTTTTCAGTTTATACTTAGTTTAGTATATACTAATTAATATGGAATTTAACCTCTAAGTTCGGAATGGATTGGTGTGGTTCGTCTACCTTAATTAGACACTATAATTATAGATCCATAAACGGAGAAGGCATGGGAAAAAAATGCATTGAAAACAATTAGATGCTGTATGTGAAATTCATCAAAATCAAGGCTAATGATCGATGTTCCTTTCTTGTATGCTTAAGGGTTCAACAAGGAACAGGTGAGGCTCCAAGCCGATCATAGATCCAGACATGTAACCATAAGTGGAGAAAGGAAGGAGAGAGAAAATAAATACATTCGTTTCGAGCAATCTTATAAGGTGCCAGAGAATTCAAGTATTGAAGAAACCAGTGCAAAGTTCGAAGATGAAATCCTATACGTAATCATTCCACTGAAAACAAGAGCATCAAAGGAAGGCCACGGTATCACGAGTTCATCCATCGACGACGAAGATGATAGTCAGATCTTCGAGTCAAGTTGGGATGAAGATTTACAAGAAGAAAACGATCATTTTAAAGACAATGATGAGGGCAATAGCTACAACTCTGAGAATAAAGGAGTGCTCGAAGAAGAGGAATTTCATGGCACGAAAATGGAAAAACAGACAAACGAAAGCAAACTATTGGAAGAAGTAAAAAAGAAGCTAAAGAAGAACAAAAAGACTATTATAACAGCTGTTTTAGCATTTAGTCTGGGTGTTTTATTCTCTCAGAAATTGCTGTACCAAGAATGAGCTTTAAATAATTAGTATTGACATTGTTTATTACTATTGATATAATTGCAAAAGGGTTGATTTCACACATGTTCGCTGAAGTTACGTCAAAATTACAAAACGGTTATTGTAGTTTAAAACTTGCACTAACTGACATTGAAGTATCATCCGGTTTCAGTAATGGTCACCGAAAGACATTTTTCATTTTAATTGAAACTTAATGGACCAAAATAGTTGAAGTTTGAACCTTGAGGACCAAATCACAAATTTGGCAATAAAACCCCCCAAACCCATTTCTTTTTGGTGTGAAACACCATGGGAGAATGGAAGCCGATTTTGGGAGGGAAATTAGGGTGAAAATCATGCTAATACCATCCAATTAATTCTTCCAAATCCTTAGCTCGAGCTCCCAAATAATCAAATCATCTTTTCAAACCCTAGGACACAACATACTTCTCCAACTTATAGGTTTATAATTGGGTAAATATCACAATTGCCACAAAATATTTTCAAATATATTTCTAAATTTTCAATGAATTTTTGAAGTATTCTCTTTCCAAATTGTTTTCGAGTTGCCATTGAATTTTAAAAGTTCTTCATATTGTCATTAAATATAATAAAATGTTATTTTATTCTCCATTTCGTCACTCGTTGTTTTAAGCTTCGCCTGACGAATACCTAATAATTTTTTTCATTCAAAAAAGTTAAATTTCAGTCAAAGAGGCATTTATATTATAAATAAGCCCCTCTCTAGCGTTTTCCCATGGCATTTTACTTCTGTTGAGCAATCAAAGTTGACGGTTTCTTTATAATCAGTGAAATCAATAAAATAGACTTTCTTGGAAGCCAACACTTCGTAGCTAATTGACCATTTAAATAAAAATATGAGAAAAATCATAAATCAGGGGTATCGTTTACACCAAATCACAAATCAGGTTTATAGTTTGAAAATTCAAAGTTCAGGTATTAGATAATTAATTAAAAATATTTATTAATTATGTCACAATTATACAATTAATGGTCACATATACATAATTATAGGTCACAATTTATTTACTGGTCACATATTATCAAATTAATTAGTCACTGATGATTTCGAGGTTACAAATTCAAAAAATTATAGGTCACAGTTAATTTCATT